ACCTGAAATCAAAAAGAGGCAAAATGAAACTAGGAGGTACAATTAATATCTGTCGAATTTGATAAAATCAGAAATAAAAAAATTTCCTTAATAAAAAAAGGAATCATCATATAGTATTCACCTGGAGGCATAAACCTGTCAACAATGTGCAGAGTTCCTAGTCGAGTTAGTGTGCTTATTTTCTAAGATCCAGCAATAGTGCTTTGGACAATATTGCCTCAAGAAACTCTCACCAATAGATTTCACATACCTAAGGCTCCTTAAGAATAAAGCAAACTCATACTGCATGGAAACCAAAAATATTTATAAGAAGCCGAGTCTATGTCTTGATTCCTAAAGTCTGCATTTTCTCTATAATTTTAACAGAATCTCTGCAGAAAGGGTAGGTAAGACTGAACACAGTGTTCACATTTCCCTTTACAGTTAGTTGAGCTTAAGGACAGAGCAAGACGCAGGCATGGTGCTTCCGTGTGGGGACCGATGGACTTGGACCCAAGTCCACACAACTCGGGTAAGTTCCCATCTCCTTCTCGGGGTGGTCACTTTGTAAGATATATAAATATCTGATCACTATAGTGTACACCAGAAACTGATAAAATATTGTATGCCACGTGTAATTAAAAAAAATCTTAAGTTTTTAAAAAGACGACCCCATAAAAAAGTTGTAATTGCTGCCTACCTTGGTTTCATCATCTATAAAATGGGGATATTCCCTATTCTGCACAGCACTAGAAGGATCAGACGCAATTCATGTAAATTGTTGAGCACATACAAGGTGTTCAATTAAGTAGGAAGTCATTTTTTTAACTAGAAAAAAGAACCTCATCTACCAACTCTGCCAGATTCTGGTGCCCTGCCTACCCCATCTTACACAGAACACCCATCCATGTGCCACAGCAACACGCACAGAAACCAGAGACTGATTCAACATGAACCTACGTGTCAGTTTCTTCCACTACAGAACAGAAATAAGAAATCTCTCTCCTTCCATACCTTTATTGAAAATTAAAAAGGATATGGCTGGGAAGCCTCTTTTAGCTTGCGGGAAATCAGTAAGGCTGCTGGTGGCAGTAACTGGGGCAGTGAGGATTCTGCGAATGGTGTCAGAGTCCTGACTCCACACGCGCAGGGAGGGGCTCCTCTGGAGGTACTTCCGGGGAACATGCTCTTAGAAGAAACGCGGTTCCCTATGGCTGAGTAACGGTAAGACCTCCAAGCTAACCATGAAAAACAATTAACCCAGAAACCAGGCGTTACAAATCACGCACTTATGTACATCAAAGAGGAACATTTCCACCTGGGAATCTTTATAACCTGATGGGTAACACGCTGCACGGTTTACATGTCCAGGTCGGTATTTTCGGCCTGGAGCAGCTGTTTTACTTTGGGCCTGACTTCCACCTGAGGACTTCAGGGTCCTGGTGGAGGTCTGTAGACCAAATGTGTCTCACACATACGTGTGCTCCCATTTAACAAATCCAGGAGATGCTGTGATCATTACTTACCATATACATTCCGCTGAGTGATATTAACTGTTACTTTGTCCTTAAATCTTAGCAATCATCAGAATAAGAAGTAAAACTCTAAACAAGTCAAAATCTGCACGGTAAATAAAAGCTTCCTAATTTTTGTAATGGCTGAAAACCACTGCTTTACAGTTTACAATTTCTAATTGAAGATAACTTCTACTTTATGAAGAAAAAGGAGAGGGATTTGAAAAAATAAAAATCCTAACCCATCTATCTCCACTCCTAGTCCTCTCTTGGCCATAAACTTTTCCTTGGCATTTAACATCAAAGCTAGTTACCCTTTCATCCTTAGTTCACAAGCTACTGCAACCATCCCAAACACACAGCCATGGCAGTGCATCGTGTATTAAGAAAATATGCATGGGGGGTGTTGCAGACCCAGTCCGCAGTCGGGTGCTGCGTCCGCTCCCGCCCGGCCGCCGCATGCGCGAAGCATATTTCCCCCCCCCCCCCCTCCTCAACAAAAAAAAAAAAAAAAAAAAAAAAAAAAAAAAAAGAAATGTCATCTCATCCCTCACTTACAAAAGAAGGATCATTCAACATATCTCTCTTCCTTCCTACTTTCTCCTCCTTCTCCTGATGCCTTAACATATTTTATAGAGGTGAAGTTACAGATCACTACAGATATGCAATTGTTGAAAAAATATTTTATATAGCACTTTCTAGTCCAGTGAAAATGTACCCCAAGTTTTAATTTATATTCCTCTCAATACAACATAAACTGCTAGGTAAAGAGAGCCTCAACTTTAAGCACTGCAAAGAAAAGATAAACTTTTCACTTGAGGAATATTACAAAAGTATTTAATATATAATTCTAAGAGTACAAGGGTTTGCCTCTGTCTTTCTGTAATATCAGCTTTTCAGTGGGTTATCCTGAACTAGGGTGAGGGAGGAGTTGGGAAGCTTTGGGTGGTGGTATAGTATGTAAGTATGGTAGGCAGATGTAGGGAGCATCGTAGTCATCATTTGTTAATTTATTATCTCTCTTCTGGGATGTAAACTGTCCTACAGATAAACCAGAAGTGTTGTTTTTTTAATTACAAAAAGTTAAAATATGCTAACCTGACCCTTCTAAGAGACAGTGCTCACTAAACGCTGAAGAAGGTATCTGTAAGTTAAAACATGCCATTAGAATTGCAGTAGCTGAAAAAAAAAAAAAAAGAATCAGACTTTTGTTGAAGTCCCAGCATCTCCATGTACTAAAAGGACCGTGAATAAGTCACATTTCCTCAACCTCAGTTTCTTCTCTCCATAAAATGAAATAAATCCTATTTTACCAGACTGTTTTAAGAAGTAACACAATATAAATGACTACAGGAAATGTGCTCTATAAACACAAAATGGTAATCTAAAGACTAGTTATTATTATTCCTAGGTTATTATTTAGTGATTGTTAAATTCTGCTAGAGTAGGTGTAAGTCCTGTTCTTAAACTGAGAACAGGTTTGGAGGGTCGCAATTGTTGAAAAAATATTTTATATAGCACTTTCTAGTCCAGTGAAAATGTACCCCAAGTTTTAATTTATATTCCTCTCAATACAACATAAACTGCTAGGTAAAGAGAGCCTCAACTTTAAGCACTGCAAAGAAAGGATCTATTCGCAAAGGCTGTTCTATTTATTTTGCAGCACAGTGATAGATGCTGAAGGAAGTCATGAAATAAATTAATGAACCAGAGGGGCAGGTGTGCACCTGGGTATAAGACAGAGGCAAAATACTATGGTTGTACAGGTCTTTCAAGAGTCTCTCTTAATGACTTATTTTCACTTTTACCTCATGATGTATTTGGTAAAACAAGAGGCATAAGCACAACCAATTTACAATTAAATTGAAATTTCAGAAGCTCACATCTATGTTTCTAGAAAAAGATGAAATTAATTGCTGAATTCTCATAGTGTATCTTGGCTACTTACTGCTAACAAATCATCAATTATTGATATTATCACAAATGCTCAAAGCAGCTGCATTTCAAAAGAGATAAGAGTTCTGAAGGACTATTGGAATAATGGGATCTTATCATTCAAATTCCTGCCACACTGCTTACAGAGAAGAAAGAGGGAAGAAGCAATGCAAATTTACCAGGCTGCGTGACTACAAAAGATTTTCCTTTCACAGCAAAAATTAATTATGTAGTAAACATTTTATTATAAAACTCTCAAGTTAGAATTGTACGGTCAAGCATCTGACATCATGAATTTAAATATTATAGCTAACCCTGCTTCCTGAGGAAGCTTGGTAGCCCAATAATCTGAAAGCTCTAAATGCATGTAATACTGTCATTATTCACATTATTCTCTCCCTGCTACTTTTTTTTGCAGAATCTCACTTTCCTTCCCACATCATGTGTCCACATCCTTTCTACCACAATGGAGTAAGAAGGTGCTACTGGCTTCAACATTGTTCAAACATTTCATTTGAGGCCTGATGACAATCTTCTTGTCAAACGGATTTTTCTCAGCCAATCTACTTTCCACGGAGTTTTACCAGGTAGATAAATATGGGTGGAGAAACAAGCTGGGCTTTCACTGGGGGAGAAGTCAGTCTGACTTAGTCTGTAGAGATAGGACTTGCCAGGGAAATGAAGCAGCAAAAAGTCTGTGCATAAAACCAACCTTTTGCTCTAGCATTTTGTTTTCCACCTATGACATGAAGCAAGATAAGTATGTGCAATTATAACCACCTAGTGAATTTAAAAAAAGTCATTCTGATTTTTACTCTGATGAAAAATGGAATGTAATGAAGAAAGATCTTTAAAGTACCCTCTCTGTCTCAGCAAGGGAGCCTGGCTAAGAAACCACAACTCAAATTAACAAGGCAGACACCAGACTAAACAGCTCAGAACTAGCTGTCCCTCATTCCTAGTCCCTACCTCTCCGGTGTGTGTCTGAATCACTAATTCCTTCAGTTCCCGATATCCTGGCTCTCTCGAAATAAAAAGCAAAGAGCAGACTCTGTTTCATCGGCTTAAGAAGTGGGATTTCTGAGCCAGAACACCAAGACTCTTGTTCTGCCTTCCACCTTACAGTTCACCTACAGCTCAACCTCTTCCCCGGCCTAGGACCCCACCTCACACTTGCATGCACCACCCTTACTAACACCCAAGCCTCCCAGAACATTCATGTAGATAAACCCAGGCCACCGAGTGAAGAACAAAGAGCCACTGCTTCAAGCGGCAGCAGTAGCAGCAGGAGAGGGCGGCTGGGGACTCCTGGACTCAGGCAGCCCAGCCTGCAAAGCTCCTGCCTCGTGTGCTCGCGGAGATCCCCGCCCGGGTTCAGCACCCCAGCGGCGCCGCGACAGAGTTTGGCAGAGACCCTTGGGGAAGAAAGCAGTACATGGGGCGCAACCAAGAAAATGCACGAAGTCTGGCTGCAGCACGGGGCTGGAGATCTGGCTCGGCGGCACTCGGGCGGGCGGCAGCCAGTGACAGCCCAGCGCCCGGCCCCGCGGCTCCCGACCGGGCCCCACGCACCTGGACCAGGCGGCCACCCTGCTCCCTCAGGGCGCTCTCCGGGGACTCGGCTTCCGGGGGGCTCCGCAGGCTGGAACCCGCCGCGACGCGGAGGCTTCACTCCTCCATCCTGGGACCCGGCGGCACGTTACGGACAGCCGTGCACTTCCTGTTTGAAAACACACGGGAGAGAAAGAGCGGGCGTGTTGGCGGAGCGGAGGGAGGGGCGCGGGCGGCGCGCGGGGAGGCCGAGGGGGCTGCGGGTCGCGTCACCGCCGCCCTCCCAGCCATGGTGGGCACCGGGCGCTCGGACCGCCACACCAGCGACCCGGGAGCTGGCTCCCCGGGGCCCGGGCCTCCCCCTGCCGGCGGCCGCCCCGCGCGCGCAGCCCTTCCGTTTCCAGCCCAGCCGAGGTCTCTCCTCCCCACATGTACCTAGTCCATTCACTGCACGCTTCCTCCCGGTGTTCCGAGTGCAGTCTGCCCGTGTTTTCCTCCTTTCCTCTCCTCCCCTTCCCTGCCCTAAAAAAATCGCCTTGAGGAAGGTGTAAAGACAAGACTGAGCTTTCGCAGAGGCGTGGAGGTTGGGTTTATGCAAAATTTTAAAGTTAACAGCCACATCCCAGTATATCGCCTGCAGTCCCTCAGCCCTAAGAGCCTTAGGATGGGAAGCTGCTTGCCTTGCCCCTGGCTGACTCAGAGAGTGCACACAGCTGCCAGGAACTGGGAGGGGGGAAAGTATTCTGGGTCCCTAAGCTCTCTGTACTGGTGGGATTCTCCACCTCACTCCTCTGAAACATACACCAATTTCATGCAAAAGACAACGGTGTAGTACCTTCTTCCAGAAAACAAGTATTTGTCTGTGCATAATCACCGAGCAGTTCCAAAATTCTGGGTTTATGTTCATTTTGTTAACCTCCAACTTAGGTGAACTTTACGGTAGTGTTCAAAAAACAGTGAACAGATGGTTTAAGAATCTGCCATATTCGGAGAGTGCCAGCTCTAGGAGCTTGTGTCAGTGTTCAGTAGCCAGGTTCTGAGGTTCCAGGTGTGGATGGCTTCATCGTACCCTGCCTGCCCTTGCACATGAATCTATCAGGTTACAGGGCATTTATAGGACTGTCTCCAACAAACAGCTCCTTTTATCAAGCGAATGGCTTAAATAAAAGCTAGTTATGTCTCAAAACTCAACAAGAAGAGAGTATAAAGGGAGATTATTCTACATTTAAAAAGCTAAACTGTGACTGAAGTAGAAAGAAACTGATGGACATAAAGCTCCTATTCAGTGCTAGATTGCATCTCATTTTACTCTTCTCTTAGTCCAAACATTTCCCCACAGATCTGGAAAAAATCCTGTTCTGAAATTGTTCCAGTGTCTCAGCTACAAGGTGGTCAAGTGGGGAGTTCTGAATAACAGGTCTTTCCTAAGTATGAAATCTGGGCCATTTCCTCCACACTGCGATAATTCTCAAAACAAGTGAATTCTGGGAGAAAAATCACACCCAGTGACCAGCCGTTTCTGATCCACTGATTAATTTTTGAAGATCCTGCAATTTACATGCTCTCATTCTCTAGGAACTAGATTCCTTACCCACCTAAATGAATAATGTGTAGCTGGATTACTTGAGCAGAGGACACGGTGCTCTTTCTCATTATCTACTCACTGGCTCTGTCGGCCTTTACAGAATTACTCTGCAGCGAAAGTTCAAAAGATTCTAGGATAGCTACTCATGTGCCAAGGTACAAAGTCTGTCCAATTTAGAACCTAATCGGCTGACTAATATTTGTTTCTTGAATTATTTTTCTCTAACTGGGCCTTTTAAAGAAGGCAAACCAAAAAAAAAAAAAGATCTGCATAGCCTCAACTTTTATTAAGACTGTTGAAATTTCTTCATTTTTCATTTCCTTCTGCTTTAGCACTTAGTTTATACTCACCTGTCAGGAGCATGCAGCTATTATCCTCCTGACAAGACATGAAATGGAGGACATATTAAAAGATGATTAAGAATCTTGGCAATGGTGAGACCTCAGACACTTGCAGAGAGAGTGAGGGAGAAAAGAGAGTGCTTTTGTTGTGTCTCCAGATAAATGGCACCTCACTTGCCCTTCCCCTTCACCTCACTAAGCAGCACAGGCTCTGGAGCTGTAGAGCACATGCAGTTCTCATATGAAGGCTGGGTCCTCACAATGGCAGGGGCTGGGGGTTGGTGCGGAGGTGCATGGCCATCCTCCAGATGCACACAGTGTAACTAGGGCTTATTACTGAAAGCTTCCTAATGGTTCTTAGCATCCTTTTAGGGTCCAGCACTGCCTTTGCTGCCACCTTTATTCTTCACACTCCCTTGCTTACCCTGTACGTTTCAACTCTTCATCTCTTTTTCAAAAACTTAATGCTTCTTTCCAAAGCACTGTTATTTCTTTCCCACAAGGAAGGCATTTAGCTCAAAACTTCTCTGTCATTTAATAAATGCTGTCAATTTTAAACATGCAACTTGGTGTTCATGCCTTTATTTCTGTTACTCATTATACCTCCAAGAGCCTAGAAGAAAAATCTCTGAAGACAAATGAGATTAAGAAAAAGCAAAATAACCATAACCATATTTAAATTAACCTCTGTGAATTGCAAAGTTCATAGTCAGGGTAATACATCACTTCTAAGAACACATCAGTTCCAGACGTGTATCCTCACAACCACAGAGGCCAGGCATCACATTGTACCTTTCCCACGGCTTATCTGTTCTCCTGTCCCGTCTGTATATGGGGAAGTGCTGCTTCCTTAGCACTACTGAGTAGGAAAATGAAACATGTTACACTCACCACCTCATAAGAAGAGAAAAAATATGCTCCCAAGTAAGCCCAAATGAAACCACAAAAGATGAAACTGACTTTGGAAGAATACTGGAGGTTCATTTTGAAAGTCTCCACTTCCTTGGAACCACAGTCCATGGATGAAGACAGCAACACTGTGAAACCAATTTTAGAGGCTCTGAACTAAGAGACGAGACATAGTTTTCTTGATGACTAATGAGTATGGAAGAAGAGATGTTAAACTCGTGTCTGAAATGATGCTGCTTATCTCTTGTGTTAGACCTTCCTTTAGTGGTTAAAAATGCTACGAGATTTTCCTTTGTGAGGGTCCTTGATCATTATTATAGGGGGATTTTACAAACAAAAATGCAAACAACAAGGCCTCTGGTGACCTAAGAGGGTGCCTCTCTGTGCTAGCAGCCTTCACATCTGTGTCCCTGTCTTTGTCTTCACTTCCAGGGCAGCTCATGCATCAGGCTTCGCTGTGAAGCTCTCTGACACTCTCATTCACCTCCTGGCCTCTGCAAAATCTGGGCCATGGTTTTTAGGGAAGATGTCCCAAGAGCCAGCTGGCTGGCCTGACTGGCATTTGCCCCCAAAAAGTTATTAACCATCTTCATGGAGCCAACGTGTCACTTTTCCATGGGAAAAAATGCAGCAAGGGGTGAAAACCATCTTATAAAAAATCTGCCTGCAAGATGGTTTCAGCTCCTTTCTGCAGTTTCTTGCTTGTGAGCAAGTTGGGAAGGAAAGCACTACTTAAGAGCACAGCAGGCCTTGGAAGACCCAGCTGCAAGGTGGAAACGCAGGGCCAGGGTGGCTCTGGGCCTGAGCCCGTGCATTCCTCAGCTTGGTGCCTCAACTTCCTCAACTTCCAAACACGCACACAAATCACCCACGCTGCACAGAATCAGTAACATTTACATAGCAACCGCACGTGCCCTGCCTCACTGATTTCTCAGCACTGCCTTTGCAGGGAGGAGCTGTTATTCCTGTGTTAGAAGCAGCAGCAGAACTCACAGACACTGTCATTTTTTTTCAAAGCAGTAGGTAAGTGATGGAGCTAAAACTCACCCTGGGTCTGTTCTTCCTCCTTTTAATCAAAGAGAAAAGAGTGGGTGGACTTTGGCTGTGGATGGATTCTTCTGTGCTGCACATCTTCTACTGAGAAGAATCTCACTTTCAAAACTCAACTTGCAATGCTCTCTTTCAACTGCATCGTGTTACTTCATCACCTTGCCAAATTTTTGTTAAGTATAAACTAAACATGTATACTGCAACAAGCCTATTAATTTTAAGTCCTAGCAATATAAGTTGATATAAATTAGGTTAAATATGCTCTTGGGCTGCAGCTGCATGTGATTTTAGAAAATAAGTAAGACAGATGCACTGGTCAAACTGTGAAGGACAAAATCTTAATCCCTTTTGTTCTTTAGTTAGTTCTTTAGTTAGTACGCAACTATACACGTAAAGTGGGCCACACTGACTGATGCACTGAGATTTAATGATCAGTGATATGAAAGAATAGCAAGAAACCACAACACTTTGACTAAATGTAAATACCTGTGCACAAGTTAAGAGTATTCAAAATGTTCCTGGCATAGATTTTGAGTAAGGAACAGCCTGGGGCTATTTACTGGCAGCTGATTGTGATGTGTGTTGTGTAGACTAAACACTGTCCTATTACACATTTTTCTTTGGAAGGCATGTTTTGTCTATTCATCTTCTGTAGTGGATATTTCTGCTCCATTATTTAAAAAATGGTTTTTTTATTCTCTTTAGGCATTCATTTAAAAAATAGTATATTAAAAATCCAACAAATTGAAAGAATTGGTCCTAACAAGTCCAATAAATATAATGTTTACTACTGAAAAAAAAGTTCTCAAAAAGGATTTAAAAATATACAAATATCTGTACACTATACATGTGAAAGTAGCAAAATATGAGTTGATAGAAAGTCACACATCACTGTCAATTAAATGTATCAATCCTCAATTATCTATTATAATTAAAATCTTAATGAAGAAAAGCAACTTATGAATAATTTAAAGTAGCAAACAATTGAATACTGTGATTTTTCATTTGCCTGCGGTAGAATGGCTAAGGGAAATAGCATGGAAGAAAATCAAAGTGTCTGGAATATTCAGAAACATTCTTATAAACTTTGGAAAGACTATTCATCAATTTTTATTTATTATTTTTTAATTTATGGATTTGAGAAGAAGGGAGTGGGGGGGAGAGAAACACCAATTTGTTGTCCCACATATGATGCATTCATTGGCTGATTCGTGTATGTGCCCTGATCAAGGGTCAAATCCATAGCCTTGCGTATTAGGACACATCTCTAACCAACTGAGCTAC